ATCCTAGGATATGGACACAGTGCCCCCATATTGTTTGCAACTGTGTAATAAAGATGGCCTGTTCTCCATTTTCCAATACATTGTTCCTGGCATTCATCTGAGACCTCATCAGAATGACCTGTGCTGTCTATATTTCTGCCAGCACTCTGATGACAGCCACATGAGTAATCTCTAAGAAGATTCAGACTTCCAATAGCTTTTTCTGAGCCTTCACTTAATGTTCCATTTACAGCAGTCTAGGCTTTTTCTAGCTTTCTGCAAATTCTTCTAGCCTTTACCCAAAGGTGCTTCCATACTTGAGGGTATTTATAAACTACAATTAAATTGTTTTTACGTCTTAAAAATTAGAGTTGTTTTAAAAATAATAGAAGAGGGTTACCAGCCAAAATGAAAAACTTTGTATTTGGTTTAGATTAAAACATTGATCCCTTCACTGTTAACTATTGAGTTTTGCTGTACTAATCTACAAATTTATTGATTTACCTCTGAGTCATAATTACAAATATTTATAAATTCAAAGAGAAATCTATCTAGAAACCTAGTTAGCATAGAACAGCTGACATTTATTGTTAGACAAGGAGTATTTTGCACTTACTCTCCTATAATAACAGAGGATATTAAACCTGAAGTTTATATTACATATTATGGTATTGAGACATATTGTGAGAGCCTGAATATAATCAGTTACATGAGAACAATGTACCCCTCAGCTGTACAAGTCATTTACAGTTACTATGGAATATCCTGATAAGGCATGAGGCCTGGATCATAAAAATACTTAATTTTTTGAACAGATTTTTAAGAACATGATGCCAATGTATATATGGACAACTGAGAATAGGAGAAACCCCCAAATTAATGTTTTAAAAAATTAAAAGCTGTTGCTAGAGGTCATAAAGTTTAAAAGAAATCATCTAATAGGTGGTCTCTCATTCAACTGAACAAATAACTATTCCTTTCTATAAAGCAGACACATTACAGTGGTATAAATTTATCTTTTTTAAATATTCCATATTTTTAAAAAACACGAGTTCCCTCTACTTCTATATTTAGTTATTAGTTGTCTCTTACGTAGGAAAATAACACTGAATTTATATCAGCAAACGAAAGCACAAGTTTGTACAACTAGGCTCAGCAGCAAAAGTAAAGAATAACAATGAAAAGTGAAAAACTAATGGAAACCTCACAGAATGAGGACATTTGTGAAGGTCCTTGTCCTATGTGCCCCACAGTCAACATTCCATCCAAAAAAATCCTTAATTTTAAATGCTCCTGAATATAAACACAACTGTGTTCTGTGCTGACCACACACACACACACACACGCGCACGAAACAACTTCTCCAAGTCCTGTCATCATGTTTTAGGAAGAATACTGAGACTAAACATCGCATGTCACAAAATCAGGAAATCTCTTCCTTTGAGGACTTGTTAAGATTCGAAGTTGTCTCTAGCCTAAGACAAAAGAGATATAGGAGAATTATGAAAGAAAGGGCACTGAGATTGTGTCTGTCTGGAAGTAACTGGGGTTACAGTGGAAAGCAGACAGATTTTCAGTTCATTACATAGAACTTTATAATAATTATAGTCACTGGCTAGCGCGCCACGGAGCTGATTTTTTTTTTTTTTTTTAAACAAGTGTCCTTGTTACCCATTGCTGGAGTATTCAGTGAAAGATTAACTGTTCCACTGCCAGGGAAAATGTAAAAGAGGAAGGAACCACAAGGTGGTGGAATGACTTCTTACAGTTCTAAAGTTTTGTTAGGGAGGGAGGAAGAACTGCTTTAAGACTTTCTCCTTTATTCCTTCTTATTTACTGGACAAGCTTAGGAGTACTCTAATATTGTAAACTTTAATTTATTTTTTTCTGGTTTACATTTTAAATTGTATAACTTATGTAAAACCAAATGCACAGGTCTTTAGTGTTCAGTTCTGAGTTTTGATAACTATATAAATTTGTATTTATAATATAAATATATAAATTACATATATAAATACAAATTTAATAACATATATAATATTTCCATCATTCTGAAAAATTCTCTTTTGTGCCTTTCTAGTCAATCCCCTCATTACCCTAGAGATATTTCTATTCTATGAGTTATGTTTATCTTTACATTTCATATAAATGGAACATAAAACACAGGTCGGTTTTTATTGTTTTAGCCAAAAAAAAAAAATTTACTATTTATACAGTTTTTGCATTCAATAGTAGCTCATTTTTTAATTTTACAGCTATAACCTGATTTGCTCACCCATTCTCCTAATGGTTGATATTTCAGTTGTTTCTAGTTTGGGGTTATCATAAATAAGGCTCTATGCATATTTTTGTAAAAGTCTTTTGAGAAATATATTTTTATTTCTAATTAGCAAGTACCTAGGAGTGAAAGTTCTGAATGAAAGAACAGATTATGATTGGCTTGATGAGAACTGATGTACACTTCTACAGTGCCCACATCTTTCTCAACAATTAGCATTGTCAATCTTTAATTTTAGTGTTCTAATGAATGTGAAGTAGTATCTTATCATGGTTTAAATTGGTATTTCTCTACGACTAATAATGCTGAGTTCCTTTTCTGAGTCTATGAGCCATTTGTGTATCTTCTTTTGCAAAACATCTGTTCAGATCTTTTTTAAGGCTGGGTTTGTCTTTTCTAGGGATTCTTTATATGGTCTATATACAAATATTTTGTCAAGTATATATCCTGCAAATACTGTTTTTACCAGACTAAGACTTGTTTATCAGTTTTTGTAATGGTGTCTTTGGATGAGCACAAATTTTTATTTTTATAATATCTGACCAAATTTTTTCTTTTGTGAATATTCCCTTTGTTTGTGTGCAAGAAATATTTGCCCATTCAAAGTCATAAAGATTTTCTCCTTTTTTTTTTTTTCCTTCTTCTAGAAGCTTTATGGTCCTGGAACTTAGTTAGGTCTGCATGGTGGGGGGAAAAATGTCATTTTGTTTCTGCATACATATATCTAGTTGTTCCAGCATCATTTGTTGAAAAGTCTATTCTTTTTCCATTTGAATGACTTTTTGATGACTTTATTGAAAATTGAGTGTACATGCATGTGTGCACTCATAGAGGTCTGTCTCTAGGCTTGCTATTTTGTTTTTATTCTAATACATGCTGTCTTAATTATTGTGAATTTATGATAAAAATGAATTTTGGTAATTTAATATCTCCAACTTTTTTTCCTTTGTTAAGATTATTGAAACTTCTTAAAATTATTTACATTTCCATGTGAGTTTTAGAATTGGTAGTTTCATTTAAAAAGCATGCTAGGAGTTTGATTGAGATTACATTAGATCTATACATCAATTGAGAAACGTGAATAGGTATCTTTTAAACATCGAGTCTTCTAATTTATGAATGTGCTATAATGCTTTCTTTTTTTAGGTTTTCTTTAATTTTTTTCCCGAATAGCATTTTGTAGTTTTAAGTGTGAAGGATTTACACATCTGTTACGTTTATTTCTAAGTACCTGATAAAGTTTTTTATGCTCTTACACTTTAATGGGTTTTCTTTTCTTTCTATTGTTTGTTTAAGTATTTGGAAATAAATTGCCTTTCACAGTTGACTTTGTATCTACCAATTTTTTAAGGTCACTTATTCTAATAGTTTTAAATAGATTTCATAGTTTTCTATGTACACAATCATGTCATCTGCAAATATAGTTCATATCTTCCTTTCAAATCTTTTTGCCCATTTTTTCTCTTGCTTTTTGAACAGTATGTCAGATTTCTGTCACTTTGACAAAATATCTGAGTTATATAAGTTATAAAGAAGATAGATTTATTTGGGCTCATAGTTTTAGGGGATCCCACAACCTAGAAATAAATTATCTTTTTTTTTTTTTTTTGGTAGTACTGGGAATTGAACCCAGGGGTGCTCTACCACTGAGCTATATCCCTGGCCCTATTTATTTATTTATTTATTTATTTTGAGACAGGCTTTTGCTATGTTGCTGAGGCTGGCCTTGAACTTGAGATTCACAGCCTCCTGAGTCTCTGGGATTATAGGCATGTGCCACCACAGCCAGGTAGAAATAATCGTTATTAACATTAGAATGCCTCATCCACATATATCCCTATAGGTATGTAAATATAGGAAGATGGATATAAGTAATTCCACATAATTAAGATCATAATATGCTGTTTTAAATGTCACTTAAAATGAAGTTAAATGTGTTTAATTTTACTTTTTAAAGATTAGCATAAAAAAATGAACTCCACAGAAAGGATCCTTGCAAGAGATAGTAATTACTAAAAGATGATAATTGCTAAAGGTTCACCAAAAAATGACATAAAGCACATTGAAGTTTTAGTAGTTTTAAAAAGCTATATATTTCTATGTTTAACTTGTTAATGGCTTGATGTGACTTGCTGTGAGAAATGGGAAAAAAAATAATTATTTCAACTTCTTTTTTACTTTACTTCCCTATTCCCAATGGTTCCCTAATTTTTCAGTTGGAATTCTGGGTCGCATGTTGTTTGCAACATTTATGTACCTTTCCGTTATCCATATATTCGCTTAGTCTCAGTTCAGTTTTGAGATGAATTTCATTCTAACCTATCCATTATCTCTTATGCCACGGTCTCTGGTTTCTTCATTAAGTTTTTTGTTTTTATTCATCTCTTGCTTGGCTAGTTTTCTCATCAAGTGATTTTCTCAAGAAGGGCCAAGGTCATCCCTGAAGTTTTCCTTACTGTCACCTTTATACTTGAATGAAAATTTGACTGAAAGAAAGAAATGTGTCATGCTTTCTTTTCCCTAAATTTGCTTTCCTAGAATCCCATTAAACCAGTTTTCTTTCTTTACTATTTTTGTTTTGGCCTATTTTAATCAGAATTGCAGTTTTCAAAGGATATCATATACCTTTTCACTCATTGTGCTTGACAGATTACTACTAGGAAGGATTATCACAGCTATGGAACCACAATCTGAGCTGGGGTGTTGTGGGAATATTAATCTCCCATCTTGCTTTCCTTTATAGAGATAATTGATGACCTTGCCAACCTTGTGGAGAACACAGATGAAAGACTTCGCACTGAAACCAGGCGTGTGAGCCTGGTGGACAGAAAGTCAACCTCATGTGGTAAGAGATGATAATCATTATGGCTTTGTTTCTTTGATCACTTGTGGATTCACTCTGCTTTGAGTTTCCCATGTCTCATTACTGCGGGGATTTGGTTGCTCCTCTAATACAAGTGGTATCATTTATTTGATGAAGCATTGAAATTGCCAAAAGATGTGTTTATCTTATGATGAAATGAATTATTTGGGGTTCAGACAGAATATCATTATCTTTTTCTTTTTTTAATCTAATCTGTGAAACCTTTGTTTGTTTACAGAGATTAATAGTTTGGGAAATTGTATAACATTATGCAGGTTGGTAGTGGTAGTTCTTGTAGGTTTTAAAGATGCTCTTGTTTGCTTTTCTGACTTTTAAAAACTATTAGCTTATTATTGAACCTGCCCCAGAACAGTTAAGAGTTGCTCAGGTTTTGAAGTCTGACCAAGTTAAGATCCTACATTTGGTGATGTTGTTTTTTTCAAGTCACTTTATGTTTTGATGCCTTGTATATAAAATGGGGATTCATATTTCAAGATAAAAATCACTTGGAGTACTTAACATACTTGGCTAGATATTCTGATTGAGTAGATCTAAGATGGAATTCAAGAGTGCACATTATTTGTTAAGAATGCCTAGCAGTTCTGATGCAGATGCTTGTTATTCTGCAGTAATCCCTATCCAGCATTTTGCAAAGTGTAAATTATATATTGCCTATGTACAGTGCCTTGCCTTAAAGGTAAGTGACAGTAAATGTGTACAATGGTAGCAGTCACTGTGATTCTTATTTGTTGCTTCATCTCACAAAGGTGCATGAGTTTATAAAGCTAACATGTGAAGAATCACTATTCTTCCAAACTCTAAACTCTTAGGTGCTTTCCAGTATTTTCTCTTTTTTTAATTTTTAATTTGATAATGCCTATTTGCAGGTAGAAATTGGGGTTTTCTATAGTCCTGAGAGGGGCAAAAAAGTGGGATAGAAAATAAGTTCTTAGGCCCACTTCAACTCAGAAGTGTACTAGGAGACTCTTGGCACTGGGACTCTTAAAGAGCTATACCCTCTGAGTAATTTACACCCTTAAGTAAATTAAACTTGCACTTGAGGACTGTGGTGGAGAAGGCAGTATTGGCACTGAACAGAATATGGGAGGAAAAAGAAAGGTGGGGGTGGGGGAATACAGTTCTGATAGACTGGGTGAGAAAGGCCCTCATGTGAATTTGCACCGTGGACATATTACACTCAGGTAGCCTGGGAAACCCATACCATGAATTTGGTTTGAGGCTCCAGTTACATGTCAAAAACAAATGAAATGCCTATTAGAGCAAAGAATATTTATCCTACATCTCTAGGAATCAACCATATATATATTTCTAAAGGTAATGACCAGCATGCAATTGAAGATAAGTGAGCAGAAAATAAGCTAGCATACATGGAATAGCACAGCATGAGCAAGGATCAGCAATAGACTGTGGAAAATGAAAACCAATCGGCATAGACTTGTAATTTAAAATTTATCAGACATAAATTATAACATTAATTCTGCTTTTTAAATTAAAAAAAGTTAAGCTTGAAAGCATCTTGATAGAACAGCAAACTCTAAAAAAAAAAAGTAGCATAGAAAATTTGAAGAGACCAAATAGAACTTCTAGAAATTAAAAATAACAGTGACACAAAATGGAATAGATATTTTTCGTTATCAGCAATAGAGAAAATCACCCAGAAGACAAATTAAAAAAAAAATTCACATTCCCTTTCCATAAATGCTAGCATTTAGAAGAGGACATCCAAATGCCACAGAAGTTAAATTATGATCTTAATAGGAAAGGCATTTGAGGGGTAAGGGATTGGTTCAAGAGCCTCAAGACACAGCAAAAATATTACTTACCTATTCCACTCAAATGCGAGGCATTCATCATTTGCATATTGATCATTTTATATGTAAACTCATACATACATGAAACTGCAGGCAAGGTGTGTTTTAACTAGTAGGGGTGGGATTTAAGCAAACCATTCAAATGTAACCCGATTACTGTTCACGTGGTTCTCTCTTACTGTGTCACTAAGAGGACTTGAGTGGATGGCAGCCGGCACATCATCATTCTCCTCAAAGGAGTGCAAAACTATGTTGTGAGCCATGAAATGGCCTTTTGTTTCCCTATCCTGCACATATCTTCCTTGATGGTCTGACATACCAGTCATAGACGCTTGAGTAGTGAGGGAATTTCTAGTTATAAATACAGAACGAATTGCAAGGGGGCCACACAGGAGAAGGGCCTGATGATGAATTTGTTTGTTCAGTTGTTAACAAAGAATTCAAGCACCTCTTTGTGAACCTTTCACTCCAGAGCCAGGCTTTAAATTTTTTGCTGAGATCTTTTTTGTGTGATTTTTCCCCCCCTCCCTTTTCTTCTCCTAACTGCAGCCCTATGATAGCAACAAGCAGAAAACAATACTGGGATTTTTTTTTCTAGACTCTAAAAGCAAATTAGACTTAGAGGTTCCCTCTGGTACCTTTATGTATTTTCAGATCTGTTTCTTGTTTTAAGAACATTTACATAAAAGTAGGATCTTTGTAATTGCAGTTTAAATATTCAGTGTGCCTGATCCTCATTAGAATTCAAAATAGAGCCTTGTCTGAGTCTGAGGGAGGGAGCCAATTGTGAAAGCCCAGACGAAGAATTCTGAATGACTAGGGTTGAGGGACAGTCTTGCTTCTCAGCATAGTGACTATTACGTAATGTTGTCTAAGCACATCTATTGTGATTGCAGCAGCGTTCTGGTGATGTGATTAGAAATCAGCCCCCCTGACCTTGCACAAACACAGTCTTAACCTAGAACCATTGGGTCTGCCTTCAGCACTGCTGGACATGCAGCAGGACAGGCTTTAAAACAGTGCAGTACAGCACTACTGGGCAGGCATGACGCAGAACTGGATGTCTATTTGGGCTCTGCCACTTGCAGCCTGGCTGACTTGGAGAGCTCGCTAAGCCTCAGTTTCCTTCTCTGCACCATGAGGATAGCAATCACAGATTCAGCATCCCTACTCTGAAAATTCAAAATATAAATACTCCAAAATCTGACATTTTTTTTGTGCTGTCATGATGTCACAAGTGGAAAATTTTACACTTGACCTCATGTAATGTGTCTCAGTCAAAATGCAGGCGCACTCAAAATGTTGTACAAAATTACCTTCACGTTATGTATATAAGGTATGTATGAAACAAGTGAATATCTTGTTTAGACTTGAATCCCTTCCTTAAGATATCTTATTAGGTATATGCAAATATTCCAAAATCCAAAAATATCTGAAATCTGAAACACTTCTGGTCCCAAGCATTTCAGATAAGGGATGCCCAACTTATACACGTAGTTATTCTGTAGACTTATGGGAACAATTAGGTAGGATAGTGATTGGTACAAAGGAATCCTTACTCGTCACCAGCTATGTTAAGGTATGGGTTTAAGTTGATTGTAGAGAGCCTCTTCCATAGGTAAGACTCAAGGACTCCTGCTTCTATTTGAAACCAGCATAGAACATTAAGGAGAAGCAATTACTTGAGTTAGTCATATAGGAATATTTTGGAGCTATGAAGTTAGCATCCTCATTTGATTCGAGAAGGAGTTGATTTTTTTTTTTTTAAACCAGAAATTTGAAATTTTGTGTTTGAAGCCCATTATCAGTCATGAAGTTAGCAGAAGCCACCTCTAGTGCACATGCTACTGGTGATGATGTTGCCTTACCTTGTATGACCCTGCCAGTGTGTTTTTCTTACATTTGCTCTTTTTTTTCGGGGGGGGGGCAGGGGGCTGTACCGGGGATTGAACTCTGGGCACGTGACCACTGAGCCACATCCCAGTCCTATTTTGTATTTTATTAGAGATAGGGTCTCACTGAGTTGCTTAGCACTTCACCATTGCTGAGGCTGGCTTTGAACTCGAGAGTCTCCTGTCTCAGACTCCTGAGCTGCTAGGATGTGCCACTGCACCTGGCATAATTGTTCTTTTGAACCTGACAAAAATGTAGTTCAAAGTCGTGTAGTTTATTTCAAAGACCTTAGAGCTACTTTTGTCTTTCAAAAAATTGTTTTGAAAAATTATTATTTGTTGGGAGTATTTTTTCTTAGATATTGTTTTATTGCTTTTTCTTTTCCTTGTCATTGTTCATTGAGATAAGCTAGTGAAATTCCTTAGCCCCAAGGAATTATTTGTGTATATGGGTGTGTCTCCATACCTCCATGCCATCCTTATTCATTCTCAAGGGAGAAGTGCTCTGTCTGCCACCAAGGAATTCTGCCTTCAAAGTCATCTTGTCCTCTGGCTCTCTCCTTCATTCATTCTCTTCCTCTATGCCAACATGATTACAGCATCTCCCTTGTTCTAGTCACTGGGCTAGGAACTGGAGCTAAAAGATAGGTCTTAAGAGTATAGAAAAGGGACATCTGGTGTAAATCACTCATGACTGACCTAAGTCAGCTTGGAGCTCCAAGGTTTCCAAGAGACCACAACCCCAGAACCAAGCCTTAGAGAATGAGTAGATGCTGCTTCTGAGTCTGCTAAAGTGAAAATATCAAACTAATATAAGCAGAGTGTATATACCATGATCTCATTAAAGGGAAGGAAAGAGGAGCATATGCAGTGTTTGTTGAGGCTTGTATAGAGGTATGGAAGATCTGTAGTCAATATTCAGAATGGTGAGAGTGGGTAAGGCCTGGGGCAACTGACGGGGGTTACCAAGGATTTCTTTATATAACTTTAGACTATCTTACAGTAAGCTTATGCCACTTTTGTAATTTAAAAAATTAAGTAAAATGCTTCTATAATTAATATTTTGGTATTATACTTTTTCTTTGCAAGTAGTATTTAATAGGATTATGGTAATGCTGTATTTTTAAACCCTTCTATATTTCAATGTTATAAACATTTTGTTAGCTACTTGGTAGAGAGGTACTAATCACTATGTCGTCATTTAACTCTGTACTCCTGTTATGGGCGCCTTGTTCCACATTCTGCTATATTAGATGTA